TCCTTCCTTCCTTCCTTCCTTCCTTCCTTCCTTCCTTCCTTCCTCCTTTGCATTACTAGAGATTGAATCTGGGGTCTTCCCATCAAGTTACATCCACTGCTGTTTATATGTTCTCTTCTTCTTCTTCTTTTTAAAAAGGTTTTATTCAATTCTATTTTTTTTGGGGGGGGGGGGGGAGGGGGGAACCAGGGATTGAACTCAGGCCCTTGTACTTGCCAGGCTAGCTCTTATTCTACTGAGCCATCTCCTTGGCTCCTTATATGTTTTCTGAGACAGGGTATCAGTAAATTGTCTAGGATGGGCTCAAACTTGTGATCTTCCTGTCTCAGCTTCTTAGAGTGCTGGGATTACACTTCCATACCACCATACCCTGCTCCAATACAATTTTAAAGTTTGGGAAATACTTGAGATATAAAATGGAGGTTTTATTTACTTATGTTTTTGAGACAGGGCCTCACTATGTAGTTCAGGAGCCTGGAGTTCACTGTATAGGGCAGGCTGGCCTCAAACTCTGAAAATCCTCCTGCCTCAACAGCCTCTCTAGTGCTGGGATTGCAAGCATGGACCACCACACCCAGCCAAAACTGAATCTTTGACAGTTTCTGATCTTAACCGAATTAGCTACTAATTGGCATTCAATTCTTATCTTATTCCACAACAATCCTGTGAAACAAGTATTATTACCTTAATTTACTATAGACATGAATTCATACATTTGAGCTGAGCTAGTGTCCTCTGCACTTGTTCTGGGTGGGCACTGGGTTTCCTCCATATGTTTCTGCATTTGATTCTTTATTGCAGATGCTATTAATTCAGGGATTTCTTTTTTCATTTCCAATCTGAGTTCCTCTATACCTTTCTGCAGTTGTTTCTTTATTTCAAAAGCCATTGATTCATTGATTTCAGCTGTGTGATTCCCAATTTGTTCTGTGTTAGTGTCCTCTGCACTTGTTATGGGTGGGCTTGGGATCTGAGATTGCATTTTGTTCCTTTTGGTTGGCATTTTGTGTAACACTGTCTTCTGACCTTTGTTGTAGAGCTTTGGTGCAGTTATAACCTTAGCATCTACTGAAGTTCAGGTGCAGATCTACAAAGTTTGGATTTATCCAGCTGTGCCTGGCTTGGGTCTGGCTGCTGTGCTCAGCTCCTTCCTGCTGCCGCCCTTAGGAGTGAACCTGTTGTGCCCCTCTAGCAAGATGTTCTGCTCCAGGACTAGCTGGGTGGTTCTGTCCCCTACTCTCTCTGCAGGAATTGCAGCTACAGGGTTTCACCCCAGGCCTGTATGCCAGGCCTGAGCTGAGTATGGAGGGAAGAAGGTGGAGTAGGGGGGAGAGGAAGCTCTCCCACACACTCACCGGGCCTGAGCTAGGGCTGGATCTGGGGGTCCCCAGAATGCAGCAGAAATTCTCACTGGGTGGGTGGGTGGGGACTGCTGCGCAATGGTGGGGGGGGCCTAAGGGGGTGGAAGGGGGTCTCACCCATGCCGCGCCTGGACTTGGACCGGCAGGTCCCACCAGCGCAGGGTAGCCGGAAGCTCTCCCACACACTCACCAGGCCTGGGCTAGGACTGGATCTCCCTTAATTCAAAAAACAAACCAAGTCTTTATTTTTTTGAGGCAGAGTCTTGCCATGCAGTTCTGGCTGGCCCTGAACTCACGCCAATCATCCTGCCTCAGCCTCCCTGAATGCTAGGATTATTGGCGCGGCTAGGTTTTAAAAACTTTGCCCAAAGTAAGCAACAGGGTTGTGCTGTGAACTGAGATCTAACACCAAAGCCAATCTCCTTTCCAATATACAGTATTTATAGGTTTCAGACACACAAGCTTAAATATCGGATGGTTTCTCTTACATGAGTAATATAAAGAGCAGAAGAAAAGACAGATAACTGGAAGTAGAGAAAGAGAGCTTTCTCAAAAGGGAAGGGGGCCAAGAGACAGAAGCAAGAAGGAGAACGAAGAGTGGAGATGTGTTAAAGTCCGGCCTGGGGGCCCATGCTTGCAATGCCAGCACTCAGGAGGCTGAAGCACGAGGTTCAGCATGAATTCGAAACCAGCCTGGGCTACAAAGTGAGCTCAAGGCCAGCCTGGACTGCACGGAGAGACTCTGTCTCAAAAAGACAAAAATAAAATAAAATAAAACAACAAATTTAAAACCAGTATCTACAAACTCATAAAAGAATAATAATAAAGAACAAATCATCTTCATTCAGTCAAATAGTGCATAAAACACTCAGGGTGTAGCTCAGTGATACGGCATGTGCCTAGCATACGGAAGGCCCTAGGTTTCGTCCCTTGTGGAGCAAAATAAGACAAAACAAAATCTGAATATATTGTACACTAATACTGGACTTTTTGACCAATAAATAGTGGAGGAAAATGGGAAAAGAACAAAGGATTTTACTTTAAGCTTCAGGAGACTAAAAATTATGATTGATAGAATATAAAAATTATGTAATTTGGCAACTGAGGGCAAGTTTATAGGAAAAAATGACATTGAACTGTGTTTTAACACTCAAGCAGCAAGTTCAGTTAGAAGACAGTGGATTCATAGTTCTGCTTTGTTTTGAGGCATGGTATGGGCCTGAATGCTCTGTCTTCCTGCCTCGGTCTCCTAGAGTCCAGGTGGGAATCACAGACACGTGGCCCCGTACTGGGGACTGACCTTGGGATCGCACGCTTGCCACGCAGGCACTTACGCTGTTGAGCTACCTCCCTGGCCCACAGGTAACGTCTTTAATCCACAGTATCTGACTCCTGTACTCAGTGCACTCTTTTCATTACAGTCAGCCTTCCATACGTACAGGTTACATTATCTGCAGATTCCATCAGCCAGATCAGAAAATACTCAGGGAAAACGGCATTTGTGCTGAACACGTACAGACTTTTTTCTTGTCATTCTTCTTTAACCAATTCAATGTGGGCTTGGGGTGGTGTCACATGCCTATATTTCCAGCACTTGGGAAGCTGAGGCAAGGGGATCACTGCAAGCTCCAGGCCAGTGTGGGTTACAGAGTGAACACAAGGCCAGCCTGAGCTGCACAGTGAAGCCGTGTCTCAAGAAAACAAACAAAAAGGGCGAGGGGGCTGCTGGAGATTTGGTTCAGCAGTGGAGAGCTTGCCTAGCATGCTGGAAGCCCTGGGTTTGGTCCTCAGCAACAAAAACAAAACAACAACAACCCCCCCCCAATTTCAGTATGACAATTATTCACATAGCATTACCGTTGCATTAAGTATTATTATTACTTTTAATTTTGGCCAGCTCAGCCTGCCCTGAGGGGCGTGGCAGGCAGTGCTAGGGACTGAACCTCAGTCCCCAGCACCTGCTTAAGCTTGCCTAAGCAGGCGCTGTAGACTGCTGAGCTATCTTGCCTGCCCTGTATTAAGTATTGCAAGCAATACAGAGGTAATTTAAAATACACAGGAGAATGTGCATAGGTCACAATGCCATTTTTATTTATTTATTAATGTATTTAGTACAGGGTCTACTCACAGGGTCTCACTACACAGATTGGAGTTGTAGTGATCCTCCTGTTTTCAGCTGCGCAAGCGCTGGGATTACAGGCATGCACCACCACACCCAGTCTCAATGCACCCCAGAGGCATGGCCGGCAATGCCATTTTATACAAGAGACCAGGAAGCAAACCCCACAGATACTGGGGGACAATTGTTCTTATGGTAAAGTGGACCAGCTAAGGGTTGACCAGATAGCTCAGTAGACTAACGCGCCTGCTTAGGCACAGTGCAGGGGCCATGCTTTGATGCCAGGCACCACACGCCATTCCAGCTCCGCCCCTGGGGCACACTGAGAGGCAACTGAGACTTGAGTGTGGTGGCTGATGCCTGTAATCCCAGGCTTGGGAGGCTGAAAACAGGAGGATCACTATGAGTCCGATCTACTTAGTGAGACCTTGTAGGCCCTGTACTAAATACATTAAAAAAAAAAAAAAAAAATGGGCCAGCTAAATAATATAATTTCTTCTTACTTCAAATTTCACTAATTTTGAATACATATATAGATATATGTACTAATGTATTCAGGACAAATACATATCATTCATACTTGTTAGCTGAAACTGCAAAGAAATTATACTTTTGAGACTATTAGAAATATTACTGAGAAGGGCCA